TTAAAATGATTTGTTATTTTGGTTAAGAATATCTAATCACACATGTCAAAATACATCCTGCTGCTACTGTTAATTTTAAAACACAGCAAGGGCTGTTTCAGAGTGCGATAAAACTAATGCCAACGAACATGGTAGATACCAAATTGCACGCATTAACAACATCAAAATACACAACGCGTCGTCCACTCGTGCGGAGTGGGGATAAATCCCGCCAGACGCGACTCGGCTGCGGAGGAGGTGGCCCGAGCGCTCCGCTTGACGCCCGGGTTCAGTCCCCTTAAGTACACCCGGCGTGTATCCAGGCCTGCGAAGCGATCCGGCTCCGTCGAACTCAATTGCCGCCCCCCTTAGATTTAATCCTGGCTACGCCGTTGATCAGCAGTTATATGCTAATTAGGCAAACATGTTTAACATTTTCCACACAGCACGCAGGCCGGAGGAAGTTTTTAAGAGTAGTAGCTAGTAGGTGGAAGTAGGGAGAAGCTAGTGAAGAATGAAGGGAAGGGAGAAGGGAGAACCCTGGTGGAGGAGGGGGAGAAGCTGGTGGAGAAAGAGGAGGGGAGAAGCTGGTGGAGAAAGAGGAAGGGAAGTAAGGGAGCTGGTGGACGGAGGAGGGGGTGAAGGAGAACTGGTGGGAGAGGAGGAGAGGGAGAAGCTGGTGGAGAATGAGGAAAGGGGAGAGGAAGAGGTGTGGAGAAGGAGCGAGGGGAGAAGCTGGTGAGAAGGAGAGGGGAGAAGCTGGTGGAGAATGAGGAAGAGGAGAAGGGAGAAAGCTGGTGGAGGAGGAGGGGGATTTAAGGGAGCTGGTGGAGGAGATGAGATTCTTAACTGATATCAGCAAAAGGAGAATATTATGCTGAATGACTTTTCTTAGCGGCTGACTATCAGCAAAAGGGAGACAATTATGCTGTAAATGGACGCTTTGTTAGTGCTGTAATCAGCAAGAGAGGAGACATATTTTGCTGAAATGGAGCATTTGTTTAGGCGTGATGGCGTTATTCTGCTATATAGGCTATTTGAACATGTTGTTTGTATCAATCAGCGCCTATTTAGCCAAATCAGCATATTTAGGTCCATTTAAGCTAAAACTATATCCATTTAAGCATATTTGTAGTATGACCTCGTTCGTACACCATACACGTGAGCGCATTAGGAAGGAATGCCTACAGTACGCGCGCACGTAGATGCACACACGCGCACGTAGACACAGACGCGCACATTAAGGACGGGGGGGGGGCACTCTCTACAAAACATAGATGAATTGTGGGTGGGAGGGCTCCGGTACTAACAGAACATGAAAATGGGGGTCTCCGGAACTAGGGTTGGCTGGAAAGCATGATGCTCTGGAACTAGACATGTTTGCGAGACTGTTCGCGACTCACGTTCTCCGGAACGTACGGAAAAGGGTAGGACACATGCGCAGAGACGGGAAATATGTGAAAAGCGGGGGGGGGGGTCTCCGGAACGGGAAATATGTGAAAATGGGGGTTTCCGGTGCGGAAAAAAGTAGGATCTATATGCTCCGGGAAAAATAACTTGTCCGACATAGACTTTCACTTGTCCCGGGCAATCGTACAACCGTTAGTGTCGAGGGCTGAAACTAGTTTACATTTTGACGTACCCAGTTCCAATTTCAGGGCATGAAATTAGCCAAAATGTGAACAGACCTACCCAAAATGTACTCGGGATGTCGAATTTGAGGGTCAAAGGTCAAGGGTCGAGATGTATCAATGGAGGGGGAATATTTCCCCCTTAACTTAAGGTATAGGAGGAAATGCGGCACAAATCTCACGGCTCGACCTACGCTCTTAATATTTGGTGTATAGTTTGATGGGGAGGAAACCCATCACCAGCGCGAAATTGGAGGTCACAGGTCAAAGGGCAGTGGGGGAAACGTCAGATATCAGACATTTTCTGAGGACATGGTCTAACGGACCGAGGCAAAACTTTTTTGTTTCAGCGCTGACCTACCACTTTTATCACTTTATTGAAAGTACCATGAAATGTGCTTTCCACTGACATGCAAAGAGTAAGTTTCTGATCATAACCTTAAGAACCTCAAGAGGAGGGTTAAACATGGATTTATTGACTGTTAACAAAGGACTGAACTACTTTTGGCATTATCAGAGCCATACCTGTGTGGATATGAGGCTACATTTGCAGTTCAATTGCAAAGACAAAATTTTGTTGAACAAGGTTTACGCTCCTTAAATCATATTATTTTCTAAAGCTGTCTGTATATTAATAGCACCCTGAATGCTAGCGTGGCTACCGTCATCCGCAGTCCTCGCCAAAAGCGTCGGACCGTCGGACAAAACCGGTGATTTATGCACGGGTCCGACAAGAAATTTGGCTTTACCAGACCGTGTGTCAGGTAACATTACATCAACTAATTATGCAGAGGCTACGGGTACGGCAGTACCACCCACTATGCCTAACCCTAACACTAATTCTAAACCGACTTGGCTATCTTATATAGGCATGTACCAAATTAATCTATGGTGTGGGAAAGCGATAGGAAGATATTGGCTGTTATATGATAAAAGATAGGAAAATGATGACATGCGACGTGTGTGTGAATTATCATGGGAAGTTAATTTGTAGGTTCATGCTTTAAGCTTTATACAGAATTTTACAGCTTAATACAGCTTAATAAGCTTTATACAGCTTTTTACAGAATTATTTCATTAAAGGATGCAATAACTTTAAGAAGTCAAGTATTACTGACCATGAGCAGAGTAAATATTGTGTGAAAGCTATGGAATTTTAAGGAAGGCAGCTACAAGCAGCCAACATGATATTGCTATGTCAAGGGCTGGCCGAGCTCTGCAAGCAATCAAGTTATTTATCCAGAAATGATCATGCCACTGCTAAACGGAGCAGACCGTTGACTGATTATACCTGGATCACACAACTGGACAAGGCCAAAGGCCTAGAAATAGGTGAAACCTACATTAATGACAAAGCTGGCCTTAAGTTTATCGAATGCATTGCTGATTGCACGCGTCACGAAATGGATGAAAAAATAAACGATGCTAGCTTTTTCAGCTTTATCATGGACGGGTCAACAGACATAGCTGGTGATGAGCAGGAAAGCATATATGTTAGATGTGAATGTGTTTTAATGTTTCAATATTTTTTTGGTCTAGTAACATATCATTCGGTCTGGTAAAAATCTATTTTTTACTGGACCGAATGTCTAGTAAAGGATTTTGTTTTTTGGCGAGGACTGCATCCGAAATGTAGACAAAAACCCGGGGGCAACCCATTACTCATGCATGGGGGTGAACTGGCACTTCTATTCTAATAAACATGCACACAGGTCTGCAATGCAGATGTGTTTGATTTATTACTCACAGCTGAGCAAAATTGTCGCCTGCCTGAATATACTTGGATTTTAGCCTGGGAATTTCAGCAACTCAATGAAATTAGGTTATCTCTGCTTTCTTGACTTATCACCAACGTACGAAAGGCGATGCCATCTTTGATTATTGATTACACTTGCACGCGCCATCTCGTGGCAACTATAGGCCTAGTTATACATTATGACACGATAAGACAGTCGAGCAGGTATGAAGTAGGATGCAGTGTTAGGGTTTAGTTTTAGTGTTAATACCTATGCTAAACAGTTTTGATGACGACATAGCTGGTTTAGCGATGGAACAAGCTTTCAACCTTTTGCAGTTCAAAAACAAAGGCCAGTACAGTAGAGCAGCAGACCTCAGATGAGCACTGTCGCTCATGCGGCACTTGTTATCTATATCAGCAGATTTTGAATGTGTGTGGGAAAACCTATTACATGTACAATGCAAGGGGAGTGTTTTTAAATGGTAGATTCTGAGCTCAAGCTTGTTGAATTAAACATAATACATCTTAGGTAAATTTTATAAATATAGCTAGCAAGCATTGGATTTACAATTTAGCCTTGCACATTTCTTTTTTAGCTCATCTGACATAGTCGGATGCAGCTTGTAGAATCGCATGAGCGTGCGTCCGTCCGGCCGTGCGTTCGTGCGTCCGTCAACAGTTGGGCACAAATCTTTACCGCTCGACGTACGGTCACGATATTCGGGACGTGGGGGGGGTAATCCGAAAACGAGTTGGGATGTCGAAGCTGGAGGTCAAAGGTCAAGATGTGTAAAAGAAGGGGGAACATTTCTTGCGGCACAAATCTAAACGACTCGACCTAGGCTCGTGATAGTCGGTGTATGGCATCATAATAGGAAAAGCCATCACTGCGCCGAAATTGGAGGTCACAGGTCAAAGGTCAATGGGGCACAGGGCAGATTTTAGACATTTTCTGGGGACATGGTCTGACGGAGCGATTGAAAAACTTTTGACCTGTGACCTGTGTGACCTACCATTTTTATGGCTTTATTGAAAGGACCATGAAATGTACTTTCCGCTGACATGCGAAGAGTAAGTGTTGGATAACCTTTTGACCCTCAAGAGGAGGGTTAAACATTGATTTGATGTTAACAAAGGACTGAACTGCTTTTGCTATTATTAGAGCCAATACCTGTGTGAATGTGAGGCTACAGTTGCACAGTTTAATTGCAAAGGCAAATGTTTGTTGAACAAGGTTTACACTCCTTAAATCATATTATTTTCTAAAGCAGTTGTCTATAGCACCCTGAAGGCTGAATCAGTGAATGCTCAAACGGAAAGCTCAAACTCAAGGCAAAACCACGGGGCAGCCCATGGCTGGCACGCTTCTAATCATAATTGTTGCCTGCTAACCTGCAATGCACATGTGTTTGCAATGCATAGAGTTTAGGTGGGTGCGAAAGTGTAGCTGATATATTTGTTCGAATTGGCTACGAAAGTCAAACAAGAATAAAGAAGACTTATGTATAAGACGTCTTGCTATGCACAAATGAATTTATCAGCAGAACACCAGACACCAGATGAGCCCTGTCGCACTGCGGCACTTGTTTATTCCCCTTCTGATTATATAAAATAAAATGCATTAAATGATTCCTTGTATTGACCTATTTCAGGTTTTGTCCTGATACATGCAAATCAACTACAACAATGGCTTCTCGAGACCAACCCATTATTGGAGGCAAGTTCCGGAAAAGACCTGTGACATCTGTGCTTCAAGCCTTTACCCATCAGCAACTCGGTTTTCGATCATACCAACATATATGGCAGTTGCCCAGCTCTGTTATGGAAATGATGGATGAAAAGTTGAGCAAGCATGGTATGCCACAGCTTCTAAGCAAAATTAATGAACTGAGCAGGCAGGGTAAGTCAAAGCACAAAGAGTTGCTTGAGTTTCTAAAAATGCTGTTAAAGAAACTTTCAAATCTTGATTGCCTGCGTAGGGCATATTCAGAAGGGTCATCACATGACGTCTTGAAGGAAAATTGTCAGATCATCCTAGATTTTGATGGTATCAACTTGATATTGGAGATTCTCATGAACACAGCCACACTGCCATGGTCGAAGTATTCTTCGTGTGAAAACAGTGAGGAGTTGCTGATTAAAAATGTATGCCTGGACATCCTCAGGAGGTTCTTCCTTCTTGTGGAAAAGTTTGGTGAAAAGTTGCCTTACACAAGTGATATTCTCAACTACCTGTTCACACTTCTTGTTTATCCAAATGCCCATGTGAATGCGGCACACGTACTTGAGCTTATTCTGAACAGTCACAAGGAAATGCTCGACCTAAACACAGTACCCAATTTGAAAGAATTAATTTCGGTCATGGATGACAAAGCTCTGTCAAATTTCTGCCAAATACTCTCTGTAACAATCTCTGACCTCGATACGTATGAACACAAGTCTTCACTGTATCAACAAAACAAACAGAAGCGCAGCAAAGGCTTCTTTGTGATGCGAGACATAAACCAGGAGTGTCTCATGTCTATCCCAGATCTTCTTCCTCGGCTAGTGCACATTGTTGAAACCACACCGTACCAACCACGGTATCCAGCAATCACCAATGAGCTTGACACGTGGATGCAATGGATAGATAATCAGATGGCCGAGGAAGATGAATCGGTTGACGTAGAGTCTAGTCTTGACGATTTCATTGGTGACTCTGTCAATCTCTACTGTGATGATCCTCAGAGTATCATGCATCACAGTCTGAAAATGGCAACGCATGTGATACATCGGGTGGAGGTTTTCTACGTTTTGGGGCTGTTCCTTGTCGGAAAACAGAGGAAGAAGGTACAAAAACAGCTTGCAGAGCTAAAACTGATTCCGACACTAGCAGACATCTTCGACAACTTCATCTGGAAGTGTACAAGTGGGAAGATTGGCACAAGGCGACTACGGGGTCACAATAGCAGCTGTGAGTGTAGCCCAGAGGTAGCATTGAAGATACAGTTCCTGCGTCTTGTTCATAGCTTGTGTGATCATTCGGAACACAAGCATCTCCTTCTGTCCCGCACAGAATTGACAGAACTTAAGAAGTTGAACGAGGGGGCTGGAAAATCGAAAGTGGAAAACTTTGATGTTCCCGATAAGTCCCTGATGTGTCGAGGGACCAAGGGCTTGTTAACTAAAATCGTCGAGGTGTTGAAAAAGGAGCCAACAGCATCGACGTTCCGGTTCTGGTTGGCGAGAGCTGTAGAGAGCTATCTGCGTGGCTCGACGTGCTATGCCGATCAGATGTTCTTACTGAGACGAGGACTGCTGCATCACGTCGCAGGAAACCTGATCGAAAATGACGTCAGGCCGAAAGAGATTCTACAGAGCAGCTTTGACCTTCTGGGTGAGCTCATCAAGTTCAATGCTGATGCCTTCCGGCAATTTGAGCGGGTGGTGTGCACGGATGTCAAGTTCAAAAAGCTTGTGGAGATGATCGAGCGTAACCTGGTGGACTCGAACATGTTTATTCGCAGCCTTATCTTGTCGCTAGAGCACCTACAGACCGAAATGAGCACAGAGTACAACTTTCTTTTCCAAGAGGAGAATCGCCTGCTCGAATACATCTGCAATTTCAAGCAGCAGGTGTCATTCCTGCAGAGACTCATCACGATAATCAACGTCAAGTCGTTGACGCAGGAGAACGTCAGCTGTCTGAACACGGCTCTCGTCTTCCTCATGTTTGCACACAAGAATGGTAAAATGAACTCCTATCTGGCAGCCCTTAAGCAATGTGCTGTGCGCGTGGGCGAGAAGAATCTGCTTGCAAACTTCAGAGACCTGCTTGTCTTTTGGCAAGATCACTACCTGCATAAGGACAAGGACTGTAGTGCACTTGAAAAGAGCTCCCGCATCAAGTTCGAAACGTGGAAAGACACAGTGACCATGATGCTATCCACCGATCAAAAGCAAGGAACCTCTATAGTGCATTATCTGCCTGAGCATGATTTGCCTAGAGACAACTAGTCAGTGGATCTTAAGGATTTCTGAACTTGTTAGGAGAAATATAGGCATCTTTCGGGAGACAGTTGAGGTGTCCGTATGAATGTGGTTCAGTTCCAAAGGCAATAGTTTAAAATCACTGCACTGTGGTTCTTATTTCTTCAATGCTAATTTTTTTTAAATGAGGTGGCTATTGTGAAAATTCCAGATCTGCCGGTGTGTGAAGTTCATTTTAAATTGTGTTTGATTTCACGTAGTAAATGTCTTTTTATGCATGAATTATAAATGTGTATATAGTGTATTGCATTGCACCATATGTTTTATATAACTGTACATTGAATTTAGACTGACTTATTCTGCTTTGCAGATATCCTAATCTTGATAGCAGCGTGATTTGTGCACAGTAATACAGAATCAAGGTTTAGTCTTGTTCGCACCATTGCATACCTGAAGTAATTGAGCTGGAGAGTGATTGTAGAATTTGTAGGCAATTATTTAAAAAGTTGGATTGTTTGATCCAGGTGTTATACTTTATACAACTAATGAATTAATGGTATAACTATAAAAAGCTTTATGCTCCATGTGTTTTTAATAAGCATTTATTTAGTTTTGATGGGAACTAGACCAGAGGGATGCTGATATGGTCAACAGTAAGATTTTATGACTAGTTTCATGTGTAAATTATGCATTTTATTGGAAACGTGTATAGGCTTTGCAGAGTAAATTAAATCTCAAATAAATATAGATGTATAAAACAATGGCAAGGTGGATATAAATAATATTTTTGGTAATACGTTTGCATTAGATTCAGTAAAATGAGCTCATAAAGCCTCGGGTTATTAACGTTTACAGATTCGACGGTTTTCCTCTATCTGTAATAAGTGCTTGAATATTTTTTCAATTGAAATCAAAACTACTTTATCAAATAGCAGCCGAGGGTAAATGAATTAATATTCGAAGTAACGTTAGATTTGCATTTAAATACAGGCAAATCTAGGACTTAAATGAGCGATGGCTATACTATTACATGCCTCGGTAAAATCTTTCAATGTTGCAATTGGAAAACTGTTACACCCTTCATTATCAGCACCACATTGAGAGAAATTGAAAATATTTTAGAACCATTTGAACATTCTCAGATTGTGTTAGTTGCTGGATCATAATGCACGGGACAGCCGATAACAAACATGTTGCAAACTCCATTTCTACGGGTTTTTAAAACGAGAACGTACTATATATGCATCTAATTAATCGCCGGTAACTTCATATTCACCATGTAATGCGCTCACAAATCTTGTTGGTGGCTATTGTAGCCCTATGCATGCACATTGTTTCAGATATCGCAGACTAGTATAATTTATGAATGGCAATTTGCAAGTGAATGAATTTAGCCCCGAATATCTTCTCTAGTTTAATTGTTTTCAAATTCAATTCAAATTTATTTCAGTTCGATCGGTTTATTTATTGCGGTCTTGGGGAATATTAATTATTAATTTGTTTATTTTATATATAAATAAAAGATTCATCGTACACAACATTCACGCAAAGTTTGCAGAAGCCCATTTATTACGGAATGCAGCGCTACAAAATATACTGCTATTGCATATCCTGCTAATATATATACTGCAGAGTACCAATCTGGTCTAGTGATATATACTTTTTTTTTGCTCATATCTTTAGTTGTCTTTCTATGCCACCGCGTGTCGCCACTCCTACTCATGCTGATGCGCGCACGCGCGTGGAACGATTGCCCGAACGCGCGCACGCGGCACACGTGTGTGGTGTACGAACGAGGTCATACTACAAATATGCTTAAATGGACCTAAATATGCTGATTTGGCTAAATAGGCACTGATTCAAGCAGAATAAGTGCTGATTGATGCAAAACAACTGCTGATTGATACAAACAACATGTTCAAATAGCCTATATCAGCAGAATAAACGCCCATTCACGCTAAACAAATGTCCATTTCAGAAAATATGTCTCCCTCTTGCTGATATCAGCACTAACAAAGGTCCATTTCGGCAAAGGTCTCCCTTTTGCCGATATCAGTGCTAAGAAAAGTCCATTTCAGCATAAATGTCTTTCTTTTGCTGATATCAGCGCTAAGAAGGGCCATATCAGCAGCAGTGGCGTAGCCAGGGGGGGGGGGGCAGTCGCCCCCTAAGATTTAGAAGGCAAAAAAATAGAAAATAAAGTTTAAAAAAAAAAATCGCTTCACTGAAATCAAGACAAATTCAATTGTAATACTGCGATTCAGTTGATCAGTTTAGTTTGGCCGGTCTCCTTTACGTAAGTGAGGTCAGGCGCGCCGGAAGCAGTTTTGGATTGGGGGGGGGGCAAAGACCTAAAGCCCGGCGCACACGTGGCGATTTTTATCGCTAGTACCGGC